AGGGATGTCAGTGGTGATGTCACAGACCTTGCAGGGGTGTCTGTGGAAGAAGAAGAAGAACAGGAGGAAGAAGAAGAAGAAGAAGAAGAAGAAGAAGAAGGAGAAGAAGATGATGATGATGATGATTGGTGGTGGAGGATGGCGGGCAGGGGATGAGAAACAACGGCGGGCAGAGGATGGCAGGCAGGGGATGAGAAACGCGCACGCACGAGGCAGAAAAAAAAAATAAAAAATTCGGAACTGGTGGTCGCCGATGGCGGCGGGGGGGCAAGAAGAAGAAGAAGAAGAAGAGGACGAGGAGGAGGAGGAGAAGAGGACGAAGAAGAAGAAGAAGGAGAAGAAGAAGAAGAGGAGGAGAAGAGGAGGAGGAAGAAGAAGATGGAGAAAAAGATGGGAGGGGGTTGCGAAAGGGTGGGCGAGAAGAAGAAGAAGATGAAGGTGGTAGATGGGCAGGGGGTGAGAACGATGAGAAAGGATGGAGGGCGGGGGGTGAGAAAGGGTGGGAAGAAGAAGGAGAAGGAGAAGAAGAAGAAGAAGAAGAAGAAGAAGAAGAAAAAGAAGAAGAAGAAGAAGAAGAAAAAGAAGGGGGGTGGTGTAGGAGACGCGGCCTCACACGCGCGCGCACGAGGTAGACAAAAAAAAAAAAAAAATCGGAACTGGTGGTTGCTGATGGCAGGCAAGGGGGGGGCAAGAAGAAGAAGAAGAAGAAGAAGAAGCGGAGGAGGAGGAGGAGGAGAAGAGGAAGAGGAGGAAAAGGAGGGAGAGGAGGAGGAGGAAGAAGAAGAAGAAGAAGAAGAAAAGAAGAAGAAGAAGAAGAAAAAGAAGAAGAAGCGAAGGAGGAGGAGAGGGCGAAGAGGAAGAGGAAGAGCAAGAAGAAGAAGTGAAGGAGGAGGAGAAGAAGAAGAAGAAGAAGAAGAAGAAGAAGCGAAGGAGGAGAAGAAGATGAAAAAGAAGAAGAAGAAGAAGCGAAGGAGGAGGAGAAGAAGAAGAAGAAGAAGCGGAGGACGAAGAAGAAGAAGAAGAAGAAGAAGAAGAAGAAGAAGAAGAAGAAGAAGATCTCTCTCTCTCTCTCTCTCTCTCTCTCTCGTACTAACACACTCACAGTGGTGCGCGTCGGGGGGCAACGGGGGCGTTGGCGGGCAGCACGATGGCATTCTTCGCCGGGTGTCGGGGGGGCGTTGACGGCGTTGGTGGGCGCGGGCTTGTACGGCGACGACGAGTACACCCATCGGCCGAAGTGAGGCATACGGTCGGGCACAACGAAGAACGACGCGGGAAAGTAGACTCAATATACAAAAAAAAAGGGTCGGTGGGCCCGATTTGAACGAATTCAAATCGCGGCCCATCTGGGCTGTCGATCCTAGAGATCGACGGCGCAGATGGGCCACGATTTGAATTCATTTAAATCGGGCCTACCGGCCCTCTTTTTCTATCTTTTTTTTTTCAACCACGACCTCCTTTGGGGGGAAGAAGGCCCCCCGCGACGAACCCAACCCCCCCCCCCCCCCCCCCCCCCCCCCCCGCCGATGCGCTGGGGTCGCCCGGTGGCCAACCGGGCGGAACGACCGGCCAGGCGGCCCGCCCCCCCCCCATGGGCGACGAGCCGGCCACCGGGCGGGCCGGGGTTGAAACGGTTTTCACCTCTTTGCAGTAGCAGATGCAGATCCCAGGGCTCGATCCCTAGACCTTGCCCTACCTGTGTACAGTACCTGTGTAGACCCCGAGAGTTGAACCTGTAACCTGTGTATTCGTAAACAGTTGGTAGGCTGTCATATGTCCGTAGGTAGCAGGGGTTCGATCTGTAGGTCTGTCGAATAGAAGTCTTAGCGAAGTCTAGAAGTCTTAGCTGTAGTCCTTCTAGAAGGTCGAGCAAGTGGGCAAGTGGGCAAGTGGTGGACTAACTGCAGCACGTTCGCAGTACGATAGCAGTAGGATAGCAGTGAGTCCCCATTCAGTCAGCGGTAAGGTCCAGTCAGTCCCAGTCCGGTCCAGCAAGTACCACGAGGGACTGTGAGCACCATGGGCCGATGGGAAAAGGGCAGACCAACGAGTTGCAGAAGTATAAATCAAGAGGCAGCGCCCAGCCAGTCATTCATTCCTGCGTGAGCCATGCGGAAGCGCTGCCACAGCGACTTGTGCAAGGAGGTCTGCAGTGAGCCCGGAGCTGAAGTGGGCGAGAGAGAAGGAGCGTAGCATAG